TCATTATTATTACTATTGTCATTATTATTGTTATTATCATTATTATAATTATTATGATCGTCATCATCATCATCATCCAATTCTTATCTCTATCTTTACTGTCTGCATATTAAAAATCTGCCAATAATTACGCATTGCTTTTACTGCCCCAGAAATCCCTGTGATTTTGCCGGATTCTCCGGTGTTCTTGATCCTTGTCTTTAATTTGCAGCGTCTCTAAGCCACGTTTGCTTCCAGATTCCACTATTCTAGCCAGACTTTCAAATAATTCTGATAATTTTGCTCATAACTTTCAAATCATTCTGATTGTTCTGCTTATAATTCATGGTCAGACTGAAGCTCAGGCATTCACACATGGAGTACATAACACGGAAGTAAATGAGCTGAATTGAAACATTACTCTTCTCTTAGACGACGATAATTCTCAACATCTTCCATTTTCCTCAGTCGTTCTTTTTCTTCATATTGAGACATCAGATCCAGATAGCTGACCCGGTCGTACAGATCCGAGTCTAACTGAAACACAGAAATGGAAAGACAAAGCCGAATCAACGAAACTAATATAGTTTTGGAGGGAAAAATTTTTTTCGAGAATTTGTTGAAATTTCGTTTTCTGGTACATTACGGCACAACATATCCGAAAAAGACCAAAATTTTTTGGTTTTATAGAATCTAGCAACCGTTAGGATCGCTAGCGGGTTGACAACCAGACGATGCAACATTGGCCAAAGCAGCTGGAAAAGCTACCAGCTACGTAGTTGCACAGCCAGGCAATGAAATGCAACCGATTCAAATATTCCCAGTAAAAATGTGCAAAATAGGAAGGACGTAGGAGATGTAAACAGTGCTGCCTTGTTCCGTTGTCAGTATTCACCAAAATCATCTGAACTGCAGGAAGAAAAGTGAAAAACGCGGCACAGGATTCTGTCGAAGAAGTGCAAAATCTGTACAGCTTTAAAAAACGGCTCCAGAAATGTATGCCTGTAGCGTTGAAAAACTTCAAAAAGAAACAAAAAAGAACTAAGGGGGAGGAGGAACTGAGGAAGTGGGAGGAGGCTATTTAGCCTAAAAAAATATTCTATATGGCCAACCGCTCTCCTCCCGCCCAATTTTACTGAGGGAAACAGAGCGGAATATGATAGCCAATTTTACTGAGGAAGATAGAGCGAAATATGACACAGTTGTAAAGCATTATAAGTAATAATCAGTTAAAAATTTCAAATTTTTCCAAAAGCGGAAGGCAAAAAATGAAGAATAAGTATTAATTTTTCAAATTTTTTGAATTTTTTTGAATTTCTTGAATTTGAATTTCAATTTTTTGGATGAATTTTTAAATTTTTTAATGGACGAAAGAGTTTTTTGAACTTGAATCAAATTTTTGGATTTCAAATTCTTCTGCAAGGATGAAGACCCGAGGACTGAAGAAGTCGTTTAATTCGGTACTCAGGCAAGTTCAATCCTAAAAAGCTTCAGGTTTCAAAGGCAACCGATTGCCCTGGTGGAAAAAACTAGCGACGAAACCCGCATATCATTGCCTGAATATCACAGTTGCTTCTTAGGCAGAAGAGCAACAGAAAACTGTCACTGTTCCTCGAGGCAAAAAAAAAAACCATTAAAATTTACAAAATATTTTGAAAATTTTGAGTATCAACAAAGCGAAAAAAACGAACATCGTCCATCACAGGTAAAGAATCTTTCTCAGTTTCTGGTTTTTCGCCGTAATTCTCGTCAGTTTCCGGTATTTGTAATTTCGTAACGTATTTCCAGGTGCCTGTTTTTGGATCTTTTTGTAGTAGTGGGCTTGAAACATACGATTTCCTGCGCTCGACAAGCTGGTGCTTCGCGTTTTCTGTTACTAAATCCTATAAAAAATGTGAAATTAACTAGGGTGCTTTGAAATGAAATGCAAAGTTAGTTTATCTTAAATTAATATAAAACCACCAAATCACGTAGTCAATCAGTGTGGGTATCCCAATTTAGGATATTACTGGGATAATTACATATATTGGGTGCAGCTACGTCAGGCCTTTCAATCCTGGGTCGAATACCATCCAGTGAATAACTATAGCCTGTTCAATATACGCACACCACCTTTTCGAGGCCACCTCAGCGGTCGTTTACTTCCTCGTCGGTAAAACCCATTAAATATGTGATGTTTCTGTTTTAATCTAACATTTAGTGAAACTGCCCAGTAATAGCTTAAAATAGCTCAAAGGGAAAAGAGGATATACATAAATCGAGCAGGAGGTAGATACTAATCTGGAGGTTTGCAGCCAAGGATCGAAGGGCCTGACATAGCCTGTATTCGTCCGAGTGATGGTATTCTTGATCATTTGAAAACTGAACTCAATACGGCTCGAAAATTATGTCAAAAAAATGTGTATTGTAGCATCGTAAAGATATGGGGTATGTATTAAAATCTGGCATTCTTCCCTAGCAAACCGATGTCCGGTGGTTTAGCTAGCACTTTATCTGCTTTTGCCACGCTCATTTCTAGTGGTTTAAAAAAAAAAAATTAAAATGTTTTAAAAGAAAATAGGTGTAATGGAGATGGATTATCTGAGCCCTGTTAGCAGTTAATCCTTAGGATCTTGACTTCCTAAAATTTCTTTACTAACTGCGAATTCTACTGCCAAGTAAAAAAATTAAAAAAAAGTCAACGCTTTTCGGTAAAACGCAATTCATTTTCACCATACCAAAATAAAATAATAAATAGAATGTTTAAACATTTAAAAGCAAGCTATTTAATCAAACTTCATATTTGTGCAGAAAGTGCAAACTCGTTGTAAATTCTTTGAAAAATCGCAATCATAGATGGGGTTCCGGATTATGAATTAACACAGGAAGCGACAGGCAAGATTGGCCACATTTAAAATTCCCTCCAATCTATGCCTCAGCGAATATCACCCCTCAACTGTCCACTGACCACCATCAACCATCTCAGCTGACCAATGTCGCCCCCAATTATCATATCACTCTTTAAAGTCGAAAAGCCTTATCAGTCTACGAGGGTTTCTTTGGCGCAAGATGGAGGGGCAACAAATCAGCATAATTCACAGATGGCAAGAAAATGGAGAAAATTTTGTAAGATATGTGACCAAATTTTCAAACCTGAGGATTTGGCATAGCAACGGTAGCAGCAAAGGAGTATCCCGAATGTTTGTGTAACAATGGATGTGGTATCCTAGACGATTAAAGTGATCCTATATTTACTACTAGGATTTGTTTACTACTGCCTCCGCCTCTCATATGCAGGTGAATACGAAGAAAGTTTTGATTTTGTTGTCTTAGGTAGAGATAGCATAAGATAGTTTAGGCAAAAGATAAAGGAAATGCTTGTCACTAACTATAACAATAATAATCCCTTAGGCCGGGCATAAATAACCTCAAATTGTCGTTATTTGAATATTAGCTAACGGAGCCTATAAATAATAGGAAGTCCAGTGATTGATACGGGCAAAGAAGGCAAAAATAATAAG